GAATCTGCAGGTGAGACAGATGTATGGAATTTAGTCCTAAGCAGAAAAAACTTAGTGAGGAGGAAGTATACTTTTGGTTATATAAGCCATGAGTAAGTATAACCAAAATAAATTCAATGTTGGCCAAGGGAAAACCCAAGATATTTGCTCTGAAATACTCATTTTTCTCAAAATACTATTAGTTACAATGTAATATAGAAAACCCGCGTCTAGGTCAGATCAATTTTAGAGCCTAGTACTCTATTTCTGAAATATCTGTAGGGGTGTAGTGTGGAATTTACTTTCTATGAGGCCAACTCCAACAGCAAAGGGGCAAGTAGCGAAAAATGTTGATCGTTGTTAAATCTGAGGGATATATATGAGGGAATCTTTATACGATTTTCTACACGATTTCTATATGATTATTAGGGATATTTGAAAATATTCACAAGGCAAATTAAATTTTATTTAAAGATTAGATGACCCTACCGTCTGCTAATTAATCTCTTTCCCTCCTGAACCTATCTATTTTGCCAGCCTTTGCACCTCTGGATGACTATGAGTAATAAGTATCAATTGTGCAGAACAAATACTTCTATTCTTCCCCAAATGAGCTCTGTCAGGTTTTAAGGGTATTCCAGGTTATGGTTTTCTGGGAGTTGGTAAACAAGTCTTTGTTCACGTTACTCATACCCTTCATATTTTTGCAGACACTTTTGTTGTATCCCTTCTCAGTGCTGCTCTTTCTGCAGGAGAAATCCTAATCCTTTTAATCTCCCTCTGCTCAGTTATGGAAGTTGCCCTTCTCTGGACCTGTCTCAGCTCTGCTCTGACTTTCTCGAGCTGCAGTGACCAGAACTGATCCACCCAGGTTGCACACAAGCATAAATGACAACCAAAACCAGAATTTCAATGAAGGGACTATTGGGAGCAAAAGTAAAATTGGAAGTCGGCATTAAGAGAGCACATAGAGAAGAAAGCATAGCGTTAAAATATAAAATTATGTTACAAAAGATTAGAAGAGATGAAAATTAACCTCATCGTAACAGTTGGCAGAGTGGAGATAGGAGAAAAATGAGTTTTTGAAAAGGGTTGATTCCATTACTTCCAAGCTCCAAACCTTCAAGAATTTTTACCTCCATCACACGTAGAATAAAATAAAACACCATGGCCAATGATCTGGCCCTTCTCTGTCTCTCCCACTTCATCTCCATCCACTCCCAGCTTGCTTGCTCGGCTGCAGCCACACTGGCCTTCCCATGCTTGGTGAGCACACCATAACCAGTTGTGACTTGCAGTACACTCTGCCTGGACTGTGTTCCCCCAGCTCCCACACGGCTTACTGCTGCACATCCTTCAGGCCTCTGATCAAATGCCACTTCCTCAGAGAGGCCTGCCCTAACCAGCCAACAGCCTCCCCGCTATTGTTCTCCATCCTCTGTCCTGCTCTATAGTTATCATTCTCTGAACCGACAGTATGTAGTTGTTTCCCTTTCTCTCATTAATGTCCCTGTTAGAGTAGAAGCGCTGGGAGGGTGAAGACTTTGAGTTGGTACCTGCTGCATCCTCCTCACACCTAGATTAGTGCCTGACCTGGGAGGGCTGTATGAATGAATGAATGAATACTTATGCCGCATGCCAGTTAAGAGTGGAGGACTGGAACCAGATTGTCTGGGTTCCAATTCCACCTCTTCCCACTCTGTGTCCTTGGGCAAGTGATTGAACTTCTCTGTATACAGGGTCCTTATTTGAAATATGGGAATAATAATAGCACCTCTCAGAGGGTTATCTTGGAAAGTGAGTTAATACAGATATAATGCTCAGAATAGTGTTAACAACAATACTTGGCACTCAACAAATATTAGGATGATCATGAAAAAATGGCAAAAAGGGAAAAAGAGAAGCAATAGTAGCAGCCCTTCTTGAGTGGCAGGAATTTTCTATGAAAAGACTAAGGCATGTGTGGTGCTCCAGGATTCTCACTTGCTCTGTAATGCTGTGCTTCCAAGGACACAGAATCAGTTACAAGGAAAATTTCCTATGGGGGATGGTGTCTGAGAGGTTTTTTTTCTCATTACATTGAAGAGACATAAAATTCACAACTGCAATGCCTACCATTTCTCAATGTAGCACATTCACATAAAGTATGTATTTAAAGTTTAATACCTGCCTGTGGAACACGCTTTCTAAAGCTTCTGGATCTGGTATAAGTAAGAGTGTAATACCCTTCACACTCTAAAGGTGTTACAAGGCAAAAAGGAAAATCATGACATTGCTAGTTAGTCTCAGCTACAAGTTCTTATTGCCCAAAGGTTATTTCCCTCTCCATAAACAGAGAAAGAGGAAATTCCTTTAAAAATATGCACATATCATTACATATGTTTATTACTGATTTTGAGAGTAATGATTGGTAATTGCCATAACTACCTGTGAAATTTTTAGCGAGAGTCTTTCTTTTTTTTAAGAGGTTGACCAATGCAAAGACTATCCTATTTGTGAATGCAAGCCCAGTTTAATAAATGCAAACCACGTGGAAACATGCAGTCCTCCTAAGAATGCGAGTTTATGCTCTGTAGTCAGACAAAGCAACAAATGCTGATATAAGCAAAGAGCTGTCAGGCAAAATACGGGCAAAGAAGTTCTTGACACGCAGTTTGGAAAGTACCAAAAAAACCCCCCTCTTTCCAGGTTAAGTGGCAGGTGCATGGACACTGTGGTTCGTTACTTCTGGCCCAAGCCCACTGTTTCCTGTACTTGACACTGATAATAAGAATTATTCCAAGAAGTGGAGAAAATCTCTTTCTGAAATGTAGCTATCTTGGCAGTCAAACATTATCATGAATAAAAACAAATTCCAGGATGCTTCTTAAAAATAAAATTATTTTTAAGCAGCAGTAGTTTAGTAGGAACCATGCAGATTATAACAAGGGTAGTTAGTTCACATTTAGGTAGCTCTTTATGAGTTTTCTCCAGGAAGCTCCAAGGGAGAAATTTCTTTTAAAACATAGTGGCCTGTGAAGTTTTGTACTACTTGAGGAGAGAGTATGATTTTTCCCTCTAATGATAATAATTTAGCATATTACTGATTATTATTTCCTTTTTTTCCCCCTTTGGCTACCAGAAAGCTAAGCTGTGGTTCAACCACAGCAAGTATATAGGACCTAATGATCTGCTTATTCGTGATTCTTTTCACTTGTCTGGTTTTGATTTTCTGCTCTTATTAATTTTTTTACTGAATTTTAAAATTCTTTAAAAAATGTTTTACTATTATTTCATCATATGTAGTGGTGAAAGCTGCCTCAAATCCTTCATAAGAGAAGATGAGTTTAACCAAATTAAGTTAGGTAGTTTTTGTAAACATAATTTCACTTGATTGTTATAACAACCTGGAGAAGTAGACATTATTATCATTCACATTTTACAGATAAAGAAACTGAGATTCAAAGATATAAAACCTTGCCCAAGATCCAAATACCACATAGTTTTCACTGTACTATGTTGTGCTATCTCATTTCTCTAACAAAAAAAAAATACTTTCTACTAGTTTAAGTTATTCAGATACGAGTTATTACTGAATTAACAATGGTGTGAATTTGCTGAAATAAAATACATTTAAATTGTAAAAGGAAGGAGTTAGGCTACCAGGTAATCTTACCAATAATTATACGTGATTGTAAAATATTAGGCAGTTATAGGAAGATGAAGAATTTTCTTTGATGAATTTTCTTATTCTCTCTCTTTTCTTTTAAAGAAAAAGATATAAGAGAAGGTCAAAATTTAGATAAAAGTTTTGCTTGAAAGTAGGAGAATGGATTAGTTGATCTCTATGAGATGAATATGCTTTGTAAGAATCAGCTACCGGCAGCCCTAACTAACTTCTCATTACAGCCCACCAGTGTAAGGAGGTGGGCTTTGATCTCCTTTCTAAGGTCACCACGATGGCCCTCATCCCAGTGCGCTGGCGCCCTGCTGTCCTCAGTCCTGCAGTTACGTGTGTTTCCTGGGCAATGAAGTCTGTGAAAACAGCACCAGCCTGGCCTTGGGACACATATGACAAAAAACTCAAAGGACACGTGAGCCAGGATCATCACCAACTTAATTTTCCCGAGCACGGGCTCCGTGCTTCTTTGTGTCTGCGTGAACCAGGAAAGCAGCAGCATCCTGCTGAGCAGCACCAACCAGCTGTGCCTCATTGATGTATTACAGGAAAAAACCGTCAAACAAAAGAGAGATGGATCCTCTTCAAATCCAGAGAAGATCATAACACAATTCATTAAGCAGCATCACTTATTTACAATGTTATTCTATCATGCCTGTCTACTTGCAATTTCAGCGAAAGGTGCAACATTTCTACACAATTGTTTGTTTAAGTACTGAGTGAAAAATGACTAATGCAAAATCGCCAATGATGGATTCTACTCTGATGTTGGGTTCAAGTCAGAGTCTGGAGAATACACTTTCCTTACTTGAGGGAACAGCACATTGTTCTGAACAATTTTCCCTAAGGATTTTCGGGTCTCAGCAGATATCCGTTGCTCAGCTAAGTCAGAATGGATCACCTAGACAGTTATACTGTGCTTTTGCAAATGTTCAATTTTTCTGTATACCTAGACCTGATAAATGAGAAGTCATGTGGAGAAATAGGTCCATTTGCTGTGAGCCCAACATGCATCAGACATGCACTGGGTAAGTTTCACTGAGGTTACCGAGCTAGCAAGTTGCTGAGCAGGGATTTGAACCCCAGCCTGCCTGACTCCAAGAGCAGTGCTCTTGCTCCTACACTGCAGATTTTCCAGGCTTCCTGCTGCCACAGAGAGGACACACTAAGAACTCTAGAGGTTATGCAATGGTTATGACACCCCAAATTCCCGTGTATTTTATAGTCATCTGATTTGCTTTATCTGCAGAGGCAGCCCCCTTTAGAATAAGCCCCTTGGCCACGTGCTGGACAAGCTTGGAACATCGCATGGAACAGAACATTTCATATCTCTATACCCTACGCATTGGCTTCTTTGACTTGCCTGGTGTGCGGAGGGCTCCTTCAGATCTTCATCCAGGTCCACGCCAACTCTGTTAAAGAGAACAGAAAACTGGTAAGGGCCTTGCTGCAGACGCGGCGAGACCGTCTTGTGTGTCAGATCCCCTGAACCAAACACAATATGAATCAGGTTTGGCAGAAAATCATCCCACCTCTCCCTGAGTCAAGAGAACTTCAAATAGATTTATGGCAAATGAGCACTTGTACAGCTGGGCCTCAACACAGCTGGCGAGATGGAGCACCAACAGCTGTTCTTCACTGCTGTTTTTCCCAGCAAGGGCAGAAGCCAGAGATCCCGGGATAGGAGCCCTCAGGAAAAAGACCTCCACAGCCCCAAAAGAGGAATCCTGGAGGGAAGGCCACCTCCACCCCTGCAGGACTCATTGACCAAACTGCTCTGGGAATGTGGGGGCCCAGGCTGGAGCAGGATCCCTGAGACAGAAAACACTGGGCCTTTGTCCAGATGCTATTCAAGGCTGCCAGGAGGGAGGATCCAGGTTTGTGGGGCCGAAGGCTTATACAATTTAGGGGGCTCCCTTTAAGAAAATTAATACAAAAATACAAATATGAAATTATGGATGAAAGTGAATCTTTAGAAAGAAAAATAAATTACAAAACATGTCATAATTTGAAAATCTGGCAAATGTAAAAGATCTAAAAATCTATAAAATACGTAATATTCTAATTAATTAACTGCCTGACACCTCTAAAATAACTTTTTCCTCTGTAAATTATGCCTGCATACTTTGACACTCTCTTTAGACGATGAAGATTTTGTATGAGAGAGAACAGCAAGATAAGGTGATCTTTCCTATAGCAAGACTGATCAAAATATTGATAATTGGGAGGCACTGAAGCCTGCTTCCTTACACACAGACACAACTGCTGTGTGCAGCGCTGCTATAGGTTAATGCCCGGAAACCCAAGATTTCTGATAAATTTCATTTCATGTGAGTCTCATAAACAGCGCACAGTGTGCTTATCAGTATATATGCTGCATCACTGAATATATTACTGAATTTCCGTCTTGACAGGGCTTCGATGAGAATGGAACCTTTCACTTTGAATTTTACACATCTCACGATTGGAAGAATTTTCCACAGACTAGCTTCTGGCTCAGTGCATTTAAGCCTCGTTTTTCCTCCACTACCCACAGACTTCTAAGCCAGGCGCCATAGGGTGTGTTCATCTTTGATTCAGCCTTGTGGCACTATTCCTATAAGCTGCTCCTGTACCTACTGGGATGGCCAGCAGGGACTCGCCCATGCACAGAAGTGACTGCAGACCGCACAAACCTATCCCACTAAATATAAACTACATGCATTCCCAGCTCCGCTGCCCCTGCATCAGATTCTCCAAATGCTCACAGCCACTCCAGGGCCAAGTGACCAGAGGAAACGTATGACGGAGGGGAAGCTGTAGTGGAAATAGCGATCGAACCCAACTGCGGTTAAAATATATTCCTCTTGCAAATCTTACAAAAACACAGGACCATGGGAACATGATGCTGGGGCTCTTCCCAGGGCCTTGGAAGGGCCAGAGCAAGTGAGGGGCCTGGAGCTTGAACTTCCTCTGCTCCGGGAGAGTGGGCCTCTGCCTGAGGTGGGGCGGGGTGGGGGGCAGGTGAGGAGGGTGGGGGGTGCCCAGACACCTGGCTCAGGCTCCACCAGAGCCTTCCTGGGAACACACAATTTCTAGAGTCTTTCCTTCAGCTCCTGCTCCCGTAAACACTTCTTCAGTCCCCTGTAGTTGTAGTTCTGCTCTCTGGTGGGGGAAGGAAAGGCAGGCAGGAAAGCAGCAACAGTGGAGAGGCAGCTTGCTTAAAATACCTCTGATTCTTCAAAAATGGGTGTCCCCTGGGCATGAATAGCCCCTTCTCTCTAACCCAGGGGCTGCAATGGGTAGCTATTTATTGTGTGCTGGACTTTTGGCCTTCAGGTAACTGGGAGGGGCCTCCGGTGGGGACTAACCTTTCATTTCTTAGAGTAGAAAGAGCTATTTGATCTATTTCATTGAAGTTGGAGGGAGAGAAGGAAGGGAAGAGGGAGGAGGGAGGGAAAGGGGGTCAGGGAGGAGGGGGAGGAAAGAGAAAAAGACAGAGGGGGAGGGGGAGGGGATGAGAGGGAGGAGGAGAGGAAGGGGAGGTGAAGAGGGGATGGAGGCTGGAAGGACAGAGCAGGTGAGAGGGGGAGGAAAGGAGGAAGGGGGAGGGGAGAGATAGTGGAGGGGGAGTTAAGGTCCAGCCTCCAAAGGTGGGTCAGGCAGTAACCTTGGGGTGCAGGTGGCCTGAGTCCAGCCCTGATGAATGAAGGGGCCCAAGTGTTGAGGCCCCGGCCCCCTCTCCCAGGGGCTGGCCCACCCTCAAGCCTCTGGTGGATCTGAGCTCTCTGGCCAATGCTAGAAGCCCCTAGGAGCCTTTATTACTGGGTGAGCCTAGATCTGCCCCCCCAAGGGCTCCCTGGCACCGTGTAGGCTGTGAACCGAACTGAGGATCCTGAAGTTGCTGTGTCTGTTTAGGGCCTTCTTCTAGTATCTGTCTAGAAAACTGGAGAGAACAGAAATCAAATTTCACAAGCAACGCGACGTTCAAATTTTGAGGCAGTACTAAGGTTTTCCACTAAAATTTAAGCTTTCCTCCCCAGCAGCAATCAAAGCAGACATTTCTAGTTTCAATTGCTCCAGCAGCCAGATGGAGCTGAGCAATGATGGCAGCGGATTGAGTTCTTCAGTTTTATGCGGGACTCCGTGAAGGGCATCTCAAAGGCCTGAGTGATGACGCTGTTCTACTGGGAGCGAGAACACGCTCCTCCCCCTCCCGCTTCGGGGAAGGTCAGGGTCTGCTCCTGGGGCCAGGCCTGCTGCCTTCTTGGCCTGCAGCAGACTGAATGTCTCAAGCGGCTTGAGGAAAGAGAAACTCCATGTAAGTTATTGCTCTTCTGGGGCAGCTGAGGTGAACAAAACAGATGCGGCTCTGCCCTCACAGGGCATACAGTTTGGCACATTTAATTAGAAAAATCTAAAAAAATGTATTATGATTTAAGTGCTATGAAGGAAAGGCACATAAGAACGATGCCTTCCTTCACTTATGATTTTAGCTACTTTTGATAAAAATCTTGCTAAAATCTGTGACCTCGCTCCCTGCCTCCTTAAACAGAGAATTCAGTGTAGGATTGATAACCTGATAGTCAAATTTAATACTTTTTTTTTTCACGTTTTTAATACACACACATAACAAAGTAATAAAACTGAAATATTATAGAAGGGCTTACAATAAAATGCCCCACCTCCCCCGTACACCCCCAGGCCAACTCGCCATGCCTCTGAGGGCAATTTTCTGCCTTTTTCTTGATTGTGGTATAGAAACTGATATCAGCACGTGTGGCACATTCACACAGCATCCCCAGGGTTAAGCAAACATGACAGCACATCTATGTCTCTTACTCTCCTCTTTAAGAAGGCAAGTCAGAGTGTGAAAGTGACATTCCTTTAGGGTTAACCTTGAATCCACTCACTTCTATGCATAAAAGATTATTTACACTCTATAGGTTCTTGAGAGATTATTAGAAAGAAGACATGATGTCACCTGGCTTGCGGTGCCATGTGTGTGTATAGCAGCGCCCAGGTGAGATCACAGGTAGATGGGATGAGGTCCAACCTCCGGAGGTGTTATCCAGGGCGCCTAGCACCTACCCCGTGGTGTAAAGCTACCCTTTCTGTTCCTCTGATCTGGACACAGTGCGCCCGGGCTGGAGCTGAACCTGTCCTTGTTTCTGAGCCCAGTACTCAGTACGGTCCCTGAGTTCTGGCCCTGCCTGGATCTGCCAGTGCCACTCCCATCAACTGAATCCCCTCCCTCCAAACTCCAGCTGGTGGTTTGGGCTATGCTGGCCACCACTGGGCACCTGGGATGCCCTGCCTCGTTTCCTGAACTTCCCACTACTGCCCCCCTCTTTTGATCACACGTGGACCACCCATTTTGTTGCCCTAACTTGGTTCAGATCTCCCATCACTTGAAATTTTCGCTGACTTGGACTGCAAGCAGCTGCACCCCTCCAAATCTGTTCTCTGCTCCAGACCCAGCCCCTTCTGTGGCACCTGTGATCACCCTGCTCTGGCCATGGCACCCCCGGCCCAACCTGTGTTCGCCTGTCTGACTGTACCTAGCCGTGAAGGGCAAGCCCCTCTCTTCACGATACGGCAGCTCTAGCTGGAATCTCAGGACTCAGAACCACCATGCGGTTGTTGGCGGCTCAGCGAAACCCAGCTGTGAAGAGCCACTCACTGCTGTGTGACTATATCACTCACTGCGCCTCGGTTTCCTCATTAGTATAACGGGGATAATAACAGAACCTGCTTCCCAGGTTGTGGTGAGGATTAAATCAGAAAATACTTGTAAAGTGGTCAGCTTAGGACCTGGTGCCTAGCAAGCTCTCACAAAATGTTAGCAGCTATTGTCCATGTTATTATTGTTATTATTATCAGTGCTTTTTTTTTTTTTTAACAGTGGGGCCGGGGCTCGGTCCTGCTGTGCTTACTGCTCACAACTTTCAGAGACCAACCCTCCTAGTCCCCAGTTCTGCACTGGGCAACCCTGCATATATAGTAACAGCTACACCTGGGCCAAGGGAGTGGCCACTGCACAGCAGGGATTTCTGGTTTCGTAGTAAAACATCATTTCTATTTAAGGAGGGCCAAGCTTCCCAGAGTAGAATTTATTTACAATTTATTGGTAGGCTAGTGGGGTGAGAGGGCAACAAAGAAGGAAAGGAAGGTGTCTGAAGAGCAAGGGGAAGACAGGGCAAGGGTAGAAGTGAGCAGAAAGAGAGTACAGAGAAGGAACGTGGACATGCGTGTAAGAAACAGTCACAAGTGGTGGATGAGTCACTGTGAAAGGGCACGCAGCCTTAGAAAGAGAAGCTAAGGGTGCATGGATGAATAACCACACAGCTCAAGAAAATTTCTAAAAATATAGAGAAATGATGAACCAGTAAAGGATTAGAAAGCAGCTAAAAAGGTTGGTGAAAATTTTATA